GGAAACCCCTGCTTGTTTCTGCCGTCCATGTAAGTGGTATGTTTTTACCCAACCTTTCACCTTCAGTCTGTGGATGATTTTTCCTATGAGATGAGTCTCTTGAAGGCAGCATATTGCTGGGTCTTTTTTTAAAATGCAATCTGCCAGTCAATATCTTTTGACTGGTGAGTTTAGGCCATTATCATTCAAGGTTATTATTGAGGCTTCTTATTCCCAATCATTTTTGTTTATTTTTGGTATTTAATTTGACTTGTTTTCTTATTTGGTTGGTTTTTCCTTTAGTGTAGTACCTCCCTTTGTTGATTTTCATCATTGTTTTTCATTTCCTCCTCATGGAATATTTTATTGAGGATGTTCTATAGTGCAGTCTTTCTAGTTGTAAATTCTTTCAACTTCTGTTTATCATCAAATCTAAAATTTAATTTTGTTGTAATATAAAATTCTTGGTTGGTATCCATTTTCTTTCAGAGCTTTGGTATATGTTGTTCCAGAATCTTCTAGCTTTCTCGGTCTGGGTTTAAAAATCTGCAGATATACTAAATGTTTTCCTCCTTTATGTAATCTGATTCCTTTTTCTTGTGGCTTTTAAAATTCTCTCCTTATTCTGTATTCTAGGCATTTTCATTATAATATGTCTTGGTGTGGATATGTTGTGATTTTGTACATTTGGTGTCCTGTAAACCTCTTATATTTGATTTTCCAGTTTGTTCTTCATGTTTAGAAAATTTTCTGATATTATTTTATTGAATAGATTGTTCATTCCTTTGGTTTGTAATTCCATGTCTTCCTCTATCCAAATAATTCTTAAATTTGGTCTTTTTATGTTATCCCATAATTCTTGAATGTTCTTCTCATGGTTTCTGACCATCTTCACTGTGTGGTGAACATTCTTTTTAAGATTATATATTGTGTCTTCATTGCCTGAGGTTCTGTCTTCCAAGTGATCTAATTTGTTGGTATTATTTTCTATTGAGTTTTTAATTTGGGTTATTGTTTCTTTAATTTCAAGGATTTCTGTTTGGTTTTTTTGTTTCAGAACCTCTATCTCCTTATTGAAGTAATCTTTGGTTTCCTGTATTTGCTTATGTAGCTCTTTATGGAAATATCTTCTGCTGCCTGTATTTGCTCTCTTATATCATCTTTTAATTCACAGAACATTTTATTTATGTACATCCTGAACTCCTGAACTCCTCTGTCATTTCTTCTGTTGTCCTGGCCATGGATTCTAATAATGTAGTATCTTGGTTTGCTTGGGGCACTTTCTTCCCTTGTTTTTTCATGTTGTTTGTGTGTTTTTCCTTTTAGCACTGTGGATCTCAGGCATTAGAGTTTTTACCCTATAGGTTTATAGTGTCCTTGCAGGATTCAAATACCTCTCCTTTAAGGGGGAGAACAATATTAATAGATCCCAATACAAATAATATACAGCCTTAAACCATATAGCTGCTGTGAAGATGTTTACAGTTTGGTCACAATATACAGAAATGGTGAGTTCAATTATTATCTACAATATAAACAGTAGATTTGCAAAAATGTCTACAGTTTCTGATGGTGGATAAAGAGAACCAGGGTTGAGGTGTAGGATGAGATGTTAAGAGGGTAGGAGGTGAAGATATAGAGTTATTAGATCTTAGGAAGCATGAAAGAGGAATCTAAAGAATGTGGTTAGTAGCAGGAGAGGAGAAAGTGATTTTGGGGAGACAAATCAGTGGGAAGACAATAGTGAGAGTACAACAAACAAACATAAATATTAAGAAAAATGTAAAAATAAGAGATAAAAGAATATACAACACAACTGTAATATTCTATTCAGACATCCAAGTCCTCAGTAGACTAATTCATGAAAAGTACTTGTTTCACAAATGTTGGAATTGTGAGGGCAGGAGAAGAGAGAGAGAGAGAGAAAAGAGAAAAAAATCTCAAAGGAAGATACAAGGATTGTTTTTGTTGGAGATCAGTATCTTTCTTGTTTTCCTTCTCATCCAATAGATGGCGTTATCTGTTGTTTGCTGGTATCTCCACCCTCAGGTTGTTAGGTTATTAGGGTGGGAGGGTTGGTCTTAGGGGTGAAACTCCTGGAGGTGGAGTATAGCACTTGCTAGTCTCCACTGGGAGAATGCACCCCAAGGATCTCCTCTGGGGCCTGCTCCTGTGATGGGGGTGCCTAGTCTTATCTGCTTATATTGCCTATAGACCTCACAATCCCTGGTCACTAATTTAGTCTCTAAACTGTATCTTATTCACCCCTTCCCTTTCTACTTCCCAATCAGGAACCTCTCTCTCAGGAGTTCTTGTAGGCTATGCTCTGGGGGCTGCACACCTGCTGCAGAGAGCTGTTTTGTCCTGGAAAGTTCAGGGCCAGGCTTTGCAAGCTACAGACTGGCTGCGTAGCTGCAAGCACTGTGCCAGCCTAGTGGCTGCCAGAAAGAGAAAAGTGTTGGGGACTATAGGTACCCTGATATTGCTTCTAAGCCCTAGCCAGTGTCCCAAGCTGGGAGTTGCCCCAAGTAAAAGTGACAACAAAGGTGTCCCAAGATGGAAGCAGCTGCTTTCATTGATGGAGTGTTGGGCCAGGTGGGCCTGGGTGGTGGTGGTGGGCCCTGTGTTCAGAGATGCAGCTCTGTGTTGTGCAGTGTTGTGGCTGGTGGCTGTCTCCAGATCCTGTGCATGTCCCCAGGTGCAGGCTTCTGTGTGTAGGGGACTATAGCAGTGGTTGCAGTGTCTCAAGAAGGAGGCAACCCGGGGAGTCCCATGTTGGTAGATGGGGGTCCACACAAGAGTGGCAGCTAGTGGTCCTGCATGGGCGAGTGGCCAGGAGTCCTGTAATGACACTGAGGCCTCTAATTCAACACTTTTTAAACTTGCAATGTAGGTCAGGGTTTCAAAAGTCACAAAATGACAGTCATTTTGAAAATTCTTTATTCTTTGCATTTCATTTTAAATAGTTTATCTATTACTTAAACTTCTGTTTAACAGTCTGTTAGTTCTGCATTACCTTACAAAATATTTGTGTTCCTCCAAAATTGCTTATGAACTTAGTGTTTCTTAATTGAATCACATTTTGTCATTGCCTTAAATAATTTCAGAGATGCTTCATTCTTCTGATTTTTTTTTCAAATGGTACTGACTTTGGAACATTTGATTGATTAAATATAATTTGATATATTGAAACTAAAGTCAATTAAACTCAATAAGGAAAACCTATTTTTACAAATGCATCTCTTCTCCTCTTTCCTTTACTTGTTTACACTGAAAACTGCCATACTTTGCCATAACCCTGGGCACCTGGACATTTTTAATCACTCCAGTGGTGAGTCCCTTAGCTAGGTCTGTGGGAGACCAATCTCGCACATAACTGAGTTAACTCCCCTTCTAGGGGATGTTGTCAGGCACCCATGCTGCTAGACTGCCCCATTCTTCCAGGGTTCCAGTGACTATGTCTTTGTTTGTGCCTGAGAGTGTCTTCCTACAGCCCCATGGGTGGAGCTATGCTCACCTTTTCCTTTGTAATATAACCCCTTGCCCTGTTTAGGATAGAATCTTCCATGAAAGTGCATTGTATGTGTCCTCTTCTCTTACTGTGCCCTTGGGTGTGGCCTACCCAGATGTCAAGTCAACCTGCTGACAGTGGACATCAGGAAGATAGACTCAGCCTCCTGAAACCTGATCCCTTCCCTCATTTGAATAGCTTCTCCTCAATAAAAGGGGTCAGCACTTGCGC